TATACTCCACTTCGAAACCTAATACAGTAGATCATGTTAAGTTTAATCGACTAATTTGGGACCTCAGTACTTAGTGCCTGGCATTATTGCATAAGAATGTATTGTTGCCGTTCTGACACTCAAAGCATCTGCCTCTGTTGTTTAACAACTTCGCTGGTTTTTCAGGATCACCTTGCAGCAGCTCGTGGTTCAAAGAAGTAGACCCCAAGAGAAACGGCATGTTCAGAATTTTGACAAGAACAGAAATGTCAGGCTTCATGGGATTGGCGTACATATCATCGAGGATTGACTGATAGCTGCCTGGGTCACACGGCTGGTTTTGCTTAGCATGCTTCAGCAGATGTTGAAGATTCTCGCTCAAGGTTCCCAGACTGGGTATTGTGTTGTATTGTGTATTTAGAAGAAGGCTGGTTTAAGTTAAAAAATAAATTGTGAGTTCCATTTTCTTTTCCCTTTTTCCCCAATTTCTTGTCCTCCTGAAAGAGTCAGACATTGTATATTCAAATATGCTGCGGGATTTTATCTTTTGTTACTTTACAAATACATTTTTGTTCTTTTCATGGGAATTGTAAAGTTTGTTAATTTAAGAAAGGTGAAATGTTAGAAGAATAATCATATTTTTGGGGAAGGCGGGAGCTTTCTTTCATTTTTCCTTAAAAAAAGCAGGGCTATCGAGTCAGCTATTCTGTTAATCCTTTGTGCTGTTTGGCAACCTTGCATGCTGAGTCTTAATATTGTTTGTACTCTCAAAAGATATTATTCCATACTCGCATGTGGAAAGTGCATCTGCTTCCCACCCCCGTCTTGAGGACGGAGCTATATTGAGTCGAGCAGGGGCCATGACCCAGCCTTGAATCCTTGATGAAATACATGATTAACTTTTTTTAGGGTTGATTAGGAAAATAGTCTTGTGGCCCTCAAACATTCGTATTTGCAAAGGATCCTTGCCTAGGTCTGCCAGTGAGGCCACAAAACGCATTTTCAAAAATATTACAATCCCGTGGAGTAGTACAACAGAAAACAGAAACATTGCATATCCAAAATTACAAACTCAGTATTATAAGCCATGAATGTACAAAGGACGTCTTCCTCTCAAGAGGAATGTAAGCTCTGCTACAACTGAAATACACAATACCATAGTACCATTTCTACAACTACTGTTTTATTCTTCAATGGTTGTCGATGCACCAACTGCCAATACTACCGGCTGATATTATATTCTGCATCTACAACTCTTAGCTCATTTTTTGGTTCTTGGGCGGTGATAGAGTACTGCTACCGCATTCCACAAAGCAGAAACCCTTTGAGCCACTCTTGAGGCCTCCAAGAGCAGACAGACAAGTGAAGATCCACCTCACCTTCCTGATGTGTAGGATGCTCGGTTTCCCCTTCGATGAGCACTCCATCGACTATGGAGGAAGGCGTTGGGCCATGACAAGGTCTCATGGTGAAGTTCTACGGGGCCTGTTTGTATTGTTTTTCTCTCTCAAGGTCCTTAACATTGTTGCTTGCATATGTCTCGAATTTTCTCTGCCTCTCAGTGGATTCTTTCATAGGGATCATTTTCCTCGTCCGCGAGTCTCCACCCTATCAAAGAGTCTCAGTAACATGATGTTTTTTTTTATTTATGATAGAGTTTGTAAATTGGATCTTCTAGAAAGATCTCAGATGTGAGTCCCCCCATTTTTTTTGTGTGGGGAGATGTGAGTCCCTTTTTGACATATAGTATCATCCAAGATAAGAAAACACGGCAAACAAGCATGGCACTCAAGAACTCCCACGTCAAAACTTGTCACAACAAGCAAGTAGCGGAAATTGGTAATGGGCTCTGGCATCCATCGGATTGCTGATGCGGAGTTAAAACAAAGACTCAGATGAAAATTTGAAGACACGACATCTAAACTCTGGAACAGAACGGCACAACCTCACTTGCGTCCAACTTCGAAGTACTCATTGGACAGACAAAGTTAACAAAGGATAGAAACACAATAAGAATACTGCCTCAATTACTGCCGCGGTGCCAGCCCTAATCCTATGAAGTACTTGCAGTGCTGAATTCAGTTCTGACTTCAGAGGCAATAGGGTGGATCAAGCATAGGCTAAATTGTAAATACCAGCACTACTAAAGTCACAACTTCAGTGACAAGAAAAGCAAGCAAACACGGTTTAGCCATTGCCAGCCGGTGGCCAGTGAACTCGATGTATTGCTTCCCCTACCTGAAACCAAGGAAAGGATAATTACAAAGAAGATTTCATTGTGTAGTTGGAAGAGAAACTTAATTTTTTGTATGTACACTAGGAAACATGCCCGTGCGTTGCTACGGGATGGATGGGCAATGGTTGAAGAGAGGGTGGTGCACGAAGGACTTCCGCCGAGTGCGTTTTTCTCGACTTTGAAGCACATTCTTTAAGAGTTCAGTTACTAATTCAAAGGATTTTCGAAGTAAGAGCACACATGATGTTTTTGTATGACCGTATGACTTCAATGTGACATTGTGGATTAGACCGTCAGTATATAGTGACAACACACATCTCACCAGTAAATTAACCATCGTATTGATGATAAAAAAATCATACACACAACACTTATGTTGAGTTACTGATATCACACAGTAAAATTGTCGTATACTTCGCCTAGTGTCCAAGCATGTTGTGTGTGTGCTCACTGTGAAGTCCTTGTCGCATAGATGTATAACTTACTGTGTTGTCGCGATATATCCTGAATCTTGATTTTTAGCTTGGGCATCCGGCTTTGCAGCATATAGATCACATCAGTAGCCAGCGTACATCAGCGGAGGCCTATGCGCGGGTGGCTGGCCTTGCAGCGTCTCGCTTGTAGCAGCGACCAAGCTTTTTCCTCGAGATAGAAAAGGGTATCGCTCGCGTCGCTCCCTGGGGGGCGGCTCGGGCGACCTAGCCGCCGCCGCCCCCGCTCCCCTTTCCTCCCTCGCTCCGCCTGCCACCGCCGGAGGAGGCCGACGGGCAAAGCCCACTCGGCGGACGGCGGTGGCGGGGCACCCTCGTCGCACGCCGCAAGTCTTCGGCCCTGGACGAAGGCCTGCATCCGGCGGCGGCTGCGTCTAGCCAGGCGCGGGCAAGTCGGGGCGGCGGCCCCGGGCTCGGCGGCGGCGCTGTTTCCTCCTCTCCCTCGTCGGGAGAGTGGGGGGCGGCGCTGAGGCTGGCCATCATCGATCTGGTGCGGCGCATCTGGTGGCGTGCGGCGTGCCCGTGGGTTCGGCCGTGAGGACGGCGAGCCGTAGGCGTGCCAGATCTGGAGGTATTGCCCCTCTCCCTTCCATGCATCCCTTCCCAGTCCCCGGTTCGGTTTGGATCTTGCCGGATCCACCTCCGGTGTGTTCTGGTGGAGCAGATCGGTGTCCGGGGGAAACCTTGGCTGCCTTAGGCTGACCGGCAGCGGCGACGCCGATTTTTGGCGCCGCTTTCCTCCTTGGGGGCGTTGCTGAGGGCACCATCTCTCCTCTCCAACCCATGTCCGGGTGAAAGCCCAAGATCCGATGCGGATCGGGCGTCGGCGGCGCTCTGTGCACCGTAACCTTCCTGGAGGCGACACCAAGGACATTGGGATCGGATGGAAGGGTCTGCAGGTGAGGGGTGGGGGTGTGCTGCCTCCCTTCGGTGGAGCGGTGTTTCGTTCTACATATTCTTGGCGGCGGCTCTTGGCGGCATGGAGCAGCGGAGGCTTGGCGTCAGATGTGTGGTGACGGACACGCGTAGGAGGTCGACGCTGTCTGGCGTCGTGGTGGCGTCGGCGGCAGCGAGACCGGGCAAGGCCGTTACAACAGTACAACTCTGAAGATGGATATGTGGTAGGTGGTTGTGGCGGCCTCATACCCGGCGGGCGGCCTGGTTGAGGAGCACGCCGGACTGGTGGGTGCCCATACCTGGCAGGCGTCCAGGTTGGGACCTCAGGTCTTAGATGTTAGGTTTGGCTGCGAGGTCTGTTTGGTATTAGGCCCAGACCATCAGCGCCCCTTCATCAGTTAGATAGGAGTAGCGACAGAGGTTGCGAAGATGGTGGCTTTGGTCTTACTGTTGTACGATTTTGTAAGGTTTTGCGCTAATAATTAATAAAGTGGCCGTATGCATCGACCAGATGCAGAGGCCGGGAGTATTCCTCCTTTTCGAAAAAAATCTGGATTGCAGCACCAGGTGACCAGCCTTGCAGTGTCAGTCGACCTTGTAGCATCACGCATGTGTTGTCTTCGATGCGAGATCCAGCCCCCACCGCTCTCCCTCAATCTGGCCGGTCCACAAAACAGCATGTGTTGCGATCGGCCGTCTTGCAACATGGCTCACGTTGCAAAGTGCCTGTGTGTGTGGTGGGGGGTTATTGAGCACCGCACGATCAAAGGCTAATTGGATGGTCGCGGAGGCGGCCGGCGCGCGCCTAGTTATCAACCAGTTACATCAATGTGTGAGGAAGAGGTTCCGTTGGAGAAAGTTTGTAACTTTGGAATCTGATGAAGCACAAAGTGTATCCTCACTTCCATTTGATCAGAACCAAGGAAAGCATAAGCAGTTGATACTACAGCATGCAACGGTAAATTACTGAGCAGAGTGCACAATTCCATGCAAGCAAGTGAGTAACCGAGCTAATTCGTTACACCTGAAGTGCCAACAGACACAAAGAGTAGATAAAAACATGAAGTTAACATTTGAAACATGACAATCCGGAGGCTGTTGATGCAACCATTGTCCGCCAAGGCTGGTCTTCACCTAGGAGCTGTCTTAATTCTAGCCACCTTGCAATAACTTGATGTGCTACTTCCAGGGCCTTATCTGAACCAAACTGTGGAAGGAGGACACAACTGTTACAAGGTGTGTAGATTCTAAAAAAAAAACTATTACAAGCTGTAGTAGGAATGAAGGACAGCGGCTCAAGAAAAAATGGAAGACAGACTCATCTCCAAACAAGATGGAATGCAGAGGCAATGTGGATAACCGCACCTGCGAAAAGGCCACCATGGTAATTCTGTTCCTCAATCTCGGCCCCTCTCAATAGAAGCCACAGAAGCAGAGCCTTCGTTCACGCGACTGTCGGTCTGACCAGGAACACCTTCAATGTTGAAAGAAGAATAGCATGCTAATTTGGATTAAAGAATGTTAAGTTAAGTGAAACAAAAACTAACGTGGTGCAGAATTAACTTTGGTTGCTTCCGAAAAGAAAACAACCCTTACCAGTTACCACTACAGCTAGTCAGCTAGATATACCATGCAAACCCTCTTTTGTTGTTGTTGAAAGATACTACGTACTATATATACAGATACAATATCTACCTTACTCTTGTCATTCGAAATTACATAACAACATAACATAGAAGCAGGTAGATCCGCTATGGTATCTGATTACAGCCCCTAACGTAAAGAGGTAAATATAGCATATGTCCAGAGAAGCGGAATCCCATTTTGCCATGGATGCAGAGATAGCATTTCCAATTCTGAAATATGCATACAGTGAATGATAACTGAGAGCATCCTCAGGAACATGGAGCAAGTTCAGTCATATCAAATTCTTACACTGGTTGTTTTAGGTGAACTTTATTAAGGAAATTCATGGAAGTAGCAACTATGAAGTATACTAGTCTACAGAGGTCATATACAGTTGAAACTCCTAGCTGTAACATTAGCCTATTTTCTTATACACAGCCTAAATTGTAACACTTCAGAAATTGATTTAGAAGCATACTTATAAGACGATGAAGATAAACATTCGTACTATCGTAAACTGGAATACTTCAGTAGTTCTTGTCTATAGCAGTACCACTGCCACCAACAGACTACAGGAATAGGCAAAACCAATTCACATCCATATTACAGTATGTTGTACTGCATGGGTGAATTCTTTTCTATAATAGAACCTTATTAATCTCATAGTTTCAACAGGCTGGTAGAACTGCACACAAGTTGTTGTCTACAATGAATTCTACAAAATCTGCATCAACGGTGAATTGAACATCTAAAATAAGTTAGATATAAAAAGATGGACCGACGATGCAAGGATAACCAATAACTAAATCATTTTCAATGCATTTACTGGTGACGATCGGTCCAAAATGATAATGAAACACATGCTTACGCAAATTCTGACGAAATGGCTAGCACTGAAGCTTTGTTAATTGACACCTTAGCATGGGCAGGAGCTGTGTAAGTATATCTACTGAAGAATGTAGCTGCTTACTCTACAGCGTCTATCTATTTTCTGCCGGGGAACTACAGCCTCATTTATACGAGGATGTACACGTTAACCATCGATTACAACGGAATTTTTCATTCCAATAAAATTCTCAGGTGACAGTAATATGTGTGATCACAGTTACAACCAGGGAATATGCATAGAGCAAACTATCTCACAGTCCAAACATGAATCAGGATCAGATCATTATAGGTTCCTAGCTACCAAAACCACATATTTGAGGCATAATCACGTGCAGCATACAGGATCACCACAGTAGAAGGCGTATCAGCGTGAAAAGGAGAGTCTTTCTCAGTGTTCTGAACCATATCAACAGCATCAAAGCAACAGCACAGATGAGACAATGTGGATTATTGTTGATTACCTGCACAAAGCGTTGCCGGCAGCTCCCATGAGTGAAGGCAGCGGGAGGAGACATGTTTCCTGCTCGGTCCGACCAGCTCGTAGACCTCACACTCCACCACCTTCCTCGTGCGCAGGTTGATGCCGAAGAGGTTCTTGCCCAGGAAGAAGTACACCACATCTGGGTTCTTGGGGTGGACGAGCGCGAGCACAGGTGTTTTCTTGGGCAGCCCGGTGGCCTTGTAGCTCTCATCCGCCCAGACATCCGCGAAGTTCACCCTGTGCTCCACCTTCCACTCCCCGGTACCCGGATCGGCCAGCGTCCACATGACCACCCGAGGTGCTTTGCGGTGGCTCCGGGACTGCGCCTGCTGGAGCCTCATCCAAGAGGCGAGCACGACGCCCCTGGGCCGAGAGCTGTGGTCGCCGCAGGTCAGCTCCACCAGGCGGAACATGCCAGCGCTGACCTGCACGCAGCGGCGCGTGCTCAGCTCTCTCCCGGCGCAGTGGAGGCAGTGGATGTTCTGCCGCAGCCTGCCCTCCGGGAGCTCGACGAAGTCCAGGACCGGCTTCTTGGCGAACGGGTCGCAGGAGAGGATGCCGGAGGAGAGGTCCACCCAGCAGAGCTTCCCGGCGTTGGTGATCGCGGCGTCGGTGTTCCAGATCCCGTAGCGCACGGGGTAGAACACGTCCTTCTCCTTCCACCGCCCCGTCACGGACGAGAAGCAGAGCAGCGTGGCCTCGTCGCTGCCGATGAGCGGCTGGAGCTCGACGACCATGTAGTGGCCGCCGCCCGCCGGGGACGCGAGGAGGCCGGCGGAGCGGGCGTCGAGGAAGCCGAAGCCGTGGTCGGGGAGGCGGGTGGCGGCGGCGGAGGAGGCGTCGCAGACGTAGTAGCCGGGGGGCGTGCGGTCGGTGATGTTGAGCGTGACGAAACCGTCCGCGTCGGGGCTGGAGGGCGGCGACGGGGGAGGGCTCGGGGCCGGGGGCGTGGAGAGGAGGAGGAGGCCGGAGGGGTCGACGGCGAGGACCATGGGGTACTCGTCCGGGCCGGGCGAGACGCGCAGGGGCACGGTGAGCAGGGTGACGCGCGGGGGCGCGGCGAGGGCGAGCGCGAGGTCGGCGCCCGGCGGGAGGTCCTCGGCCGCGGCGTCCGTGCCGGACACCCGCGCCACGCTGCCCAGGATGATCCACGACGGCGACGACGCCGACGCCATCTCGACCGACCGGCTTGGCTTGGGTGGCTCTCGCTCGAGCGTGGCTGTGCCTGTGACAGAAGCGTGGGCGACGGGGGTTTTGGGCTATCAATTTAACCAGAGGGAACAGGGGCGTGTAGACTATGGTGGGATTTGAACTCTGCCTCTGCCGTCCGGAAAGATGGTGGCAAAGGAAGAAGAAAAAGGTGGTGGCCGATTGTGGAGAGCGCTGGCGCAAGGCCAGGGCCTGACGACCAGCCTGACCTGAAAGCAGAGTAGCTACGGGTACGGTGCGAAGAACTGGCAGATGACTCCTTCCTGCATGCTGCTTTTGTCCACGAGCCAGTTTTTTTAATCTCGCAAGGAGTATCTTTGTACACCATATAGGTCTACCCAAGGTGCGCTCCAGAGTCGAGTAAACCGGGCATGGACAACCCGGGCCAGGCTTGGGCCTTGTTTTGCAGCCTGGAAGATTGTTCGGGCCGGGCTCGGGCTTCTCTTCTTTTGTATTTTGGGCCGGGCTTGCACGTGCGTACACTAAAAACAACGTTCAGGCTGCACTTTCGGGCTTTGGGCTTAATTTCGATCTGTTTTTGGGCTTGAAAATAGAGAGTATTTCGGGCTTTGAGCTGGGCTCATGCTTGAGAAATGATGGTCAGGCCTTTACAAGCCCGGCCGACGTTTGCCCGGGTTTAGAGTCGAGCAACAAATTTGATTGTGGAATGCGCGGTTTGGCACGTCAATATACACATCGCAATGCCTTTTTCTTTCTTTCTAATTTAGGAGCTTTATTGATTACTCACATGAAATACGTTCGCGGGTAATACAACCATGAAGGAATTCTTAAACATAGTTCATCCAGAGACACATCCAAAAAACCTCACTAGTCTGTTTGACACTTAGGTGATGGACCATATTGGCCTCTCGCCTAACAAAAGAAATACTACGAAGCTGATGATATTTCTGAATAGCTTCTTAACCTCTGAACAGGACAAGTTATATCAGCTTTTGCAAACACCCGAGATGTCTATTTGAATTGACAACCGCTAAGCATCATTTTCAATGGTAATTTGTCTCTAGCCCATGTCATTATTGCATCTCGGATTTGCTATCGCCTCCATCGTTGAGAGATCCTGCATATTCATACCAACATGCTTGAGCTCGTACAAGGTTTCCATGTGATCATGCACAATAAGTCCAGTTCCTCAAGGCCCAAGACTTCCAGGAACCGAGCATTGTTGGGTTCTACGATAGGGTGCGCCGAAGTGATTAACCGCATGAGTGTGCCGCACCTCCATTTTATATAGGCGTCAGTCACGGGCTCAACACTTGGGCCTTGCACGGACCTTAAAGCCCACAAGTCTACTCGGCCACAATCCGAATACAGCTCGGATCACATCATCCAACCAGTGTCCTCGATCGGATCCGACCTCGTAGGTTCCTTTCCTTAAGCGCGCGACCCCTTAGGTTCAAGTCGGCTTGGTCGCAGTTCGGATCACCTCCGAACTGCACGGTTGGTAGCGGCCTCTAGCAAGGCATGCCGAACACCAAGCAGACTATGAAGCTGGTTAGGCGAACCTGTACAACATGTCACACTTCTGTTCCCTTTGCCACACGATATATGTTGTCGGGCTCAAGGCGAGATTGCCATCCTTGTGCTAGCCCGACTTCTTTCTCGTTCCAGTGATGTCGACCACTATCCGGATTATCTCATAATCCTTGTCGCATGGCCATGCTTCTCTTCGTTGGATCACACGAGGGGCCCAGAGTATATCTCTCCTGATCGGAGGGGCAAACCCCATCTTGCTCGACCACGTCTCGCAGCATGGGTCTGGACAAGCCCGAAACCTACCTTTGTAACTACCCAGTCACGGAGTAGCGTTTGGTCGGCCCAAAGCAGGCCTGCCACCATCCCGAGTACATGCGTCCGCTTAGATCTTAGGGCATAGAACGTATGTTGTACTCCCTCCGTTTTTATTTACTCCGCATATTAGCTTTGGTCAAAGTCAAACTTTGTAAACTTTGACAAAGTTATTAGACAAAAATATTAACATATACAATAACAAATCAATCACATTAATTAGATTCATTGTTCAATACACTTTCACATTGTATAGATTTGCTATTGTTTCATACTTTTTTCTATAAAATTGGTCAAAGTTTATGAAGTTTGACTTCGGTCAAACCTAATATGCAGAGTAAATAAAAACAGAGGGAGTACTAGAGACTCACATATGACATATTGATGTGTCTCATAGTTGGGTCTGTCCGACTCGGACCTTATCTCGACTCGGATCTGACCACGTCATATCCGACCAGACCTTTCCAAGTCCATATTATCCGGTTAGCATACAATGCTCCATGGCTAGTGAGACCAAGCCATCGTCCGTGTCATATGCTAGTCTAGTTGGATGCACGTCCACACAACCCTTTCGACTATGGATCTTTTAGGACAGTCATCATAAAATGCATAGTCCCACAAACAAGTCACGTACCTGCTGATACACATTATTGATAATGTCCAAGGACTATTTTTATTCATAAACACATAGGAAATATCATCATACATGATTGCCTCTAGGGCATATCTCCAACAGTCTCCCACTTGCACTAGAGTCAATCAAATAGACATCGAATGCCCATAGCTCTAACGTGGCCCTTACGCTTGGGTTATGGAAGCAGCTTACTCAAGGATCTGCAACATTTGCATCCGTGTGAATTTTGTATAACTCTACATCACCATTCTTTATGATCTTTCGTATCAGGTGATGTTTCTGATCTATGTGTCTGACCTTGTGGTGATTCCTCGGCTTCTTGGCTTGTGCGATGACACCAGAATTATCACAATAAAGGTCCAACGGTTTTACCGAGGCCGGGAAAATACCAAGATCATCCAGAAAGTTCCGGATCCAAACACCTTCCTTTGCTGCTTCACAAGCCGCAATGTATTCGGCTTCTGTGGTAGAATCGGCCACCGTATCTTGCTTGGAACTCATCCAGCTCACTGCTTCTCCGTTCATGACGTACACGAATCCGGACTGTGATCGACAATCATCTCTGTCGGTTTGGAAACTAGCATTGGCGTAACCCCTTATGACGAGCTCTTCCTCACCTCCATAAACTAGGAACATCTCTTTAATCCTTTTCAGGTACTTCAAAATAGTATTTACCGCTGCCCAGTGACTCTCACTGGGGTTTTCCTGGTACCTGCTTGTTAGGCTTATTGCAAAAGCAACATCAGGCCTTGTACATATCATGGCATACATGATGGATCTGATTGCCGAGGCATACGGAATCCTACTCATCCTGTTTCGCTCATCAGATGTCGAAGGACTCTGAGTCTCGCTTAGCCTTATACCATGTGAGAGTGGCAAGAACCCTTTATTCGCTCACTCATGTTGAACCGCTTCAACACTTTATGAATGTACGTGCTCTGGCTTAAGCCGAGCAGCCTCCTCGATCTATCTCTATAGATCTTAATGCCTAAAATATACACTGCCTCACCAAGGTCCTTCATTGAAAACATGCCATTCAATGACTCCTTGACAGAGTTCAGCATCGGAACATCATTCCCGATCAACAATATGTCATCCACATACAAGATCAAAAACACTATCGAGCTCCCACTTAACTTCTTGTATAAACAAGCGTCCTCTTTGCTTTTGATGAAACCGAGACCAGTGACAACCTCATCAAAACGAATGTTCCAGCTCCGAGATGCTTGCCTCAACCCATAAATGGATCTCTTGAGCTTGCATACCTTACTAGCGCTAGTCGGATCGACAAAACCCTTGGGCTGTATCATATACATGTCCTCGGTTAAATTTTCGTGAAGGAAAGCCATCTTGGCATTCATATGCCATATCTCGTAATCGAAATATGTGACTATAGCTAGTACGATCCTCACCGACTTCAGCATCGCTATCGGCGAGTAAGTCTCATTGTAGTCAATTCCTTGAACTTGTCCATAACCCTTATCGACAAGCCGGGCTTTGTGGATCTAAACATTTCCATCCACATCGGTTTTCATCTTAAAGACCCAATTGCAACCAATGGCTGTTACGCCAGGTGGCGTATCAACCAAATCCCAGACTTGATTCTCATCCATGGACTTTAACTCAGATCTCATGGCCTCCAGCCATGCCTCAGAATCTAGGCTCACCATCGCTTCCGCATACGTGGCCGGCTCGTCGCTTTCTAGCAACAATACATCACGCACTCTGCGCAATCTTTCCGACCTCCGTGGTTCCGGTGCCGCTTCCACTACGGGTTCCCTGACTGACTCCGGTATGATCTCATCACCAGCCGAGTCGCCCCCGAGTGGTCCTCGAATTTCTTTGAGTCGTACTGTCCTCCCACTGGCCTCCCGACTGAGAAACTCTTTCTCAAGGAAAACCCCGTTCCGAGCAACAAACACTTTGTTCTCTTCCCGGTTGTAGAAGCTATATCCCAAGGTTTCCCTCAGATATCCCACGAATATGCATTTATCCAACTTGGGTGTAAGCTTGTCTGACATAAGCCGCTTGACAAATGCTTCACAACCCCAAATCTTTAGAAAAGACAAACTGGGACTCTTCCTGGTCCACATCTCATGTGGTGTCTTGTCTATGGATTTTGATGGTACCCTGTTAAGTGTGAAAGCTGTAGTTTCTAGAGCATATCCCCAGAATAACAAGGGTAAATCCGATTTGCTCATCATAGACCGGACCATGTCCAACAAGGTCCTATTCCTCCGTTCAGACATGCCGTTTCTCTGTGGCGTACCCGGATGTGTGAGCTGAGGTACTATACCTCGACTTTTCAGATGATCATCAAACTCCTGGATCATGTACTCACCTTCACGATCAGATTGCAGAAGCTTTATAGTCTTGCCGAGCTGATTCTCAACCTCGTTCTGAAACTCTTTGAACTTTTCAAAAGTTTCCGACTTGTGCCTCATCAAATAGATATATGCATATCTACTCAAGTCGTCGGTAAAAGTCACGAAGTACTGATAGCCGCCTCTGGTAGTTGTGCTCATT